AAAGAGCAGAACATAGGAAGAGAAGTGACGAAGCTGAAGACGATAAAACTAGGATTCCAAGTCTATGACACCATAGAAATAATCTAAGCCATAGGATTGTTTGACATTAATGGTTTTGATCACCAAATTTGAGAAAATTGCAACAGTAAACAACTATGTATACTTGTTCATTCACTGCCTTTGACCTTCACTTGATGCAGTGGCGAATATAGAGGTAAATTTTGAATCCACACAAAAGCTGAAGACCCCCACATGCTGGCCAAATGGGTTTAGTGCCTTGGAGTGTCCTTTGCCATTTGAATTTTAGTTAATTGCGTGTTGGCAGATAGAAGTAAAGGTGGATGTTAGTGGGTGACCACCCTCGGATCCTTCCAAATAATACGGGTAACGCTTGCCAAAGGTTATAAGGAAACTAAGTTCAACGACTCTCAGCCGCATTTAATATGTGACCCAAAAAAGATCACATTTAATAGGGCTTCCATTTACAAGAAAAGGACTAACCACTCTTGTTCGGCAAGCTACTTCATTAGTAGCTAGTAGTAGCGTCTGCAACTGTATGGTGCATCAGTATTACCCACTCTAGCAAACTGCTCATCATTAATGGCTCTTATTAACAAGTCCCAATCTCACTGCATTTACTTTTTCTCTTTTTTCCTTTTTTAAGTCAACAAGTCACATATTTATCTCCCAGATTGGTAGATTGAAGTTATTTGGGTTATGCATCTCCTTCCCTTAGCCCCTCATTCACTCTAGTGATAGTGACTTGCATATTACCCCCATAAGTAACATGAATCAATTAATCTCAGATTTATCTCTGACATGAATATTAATTAGTTGTAGTGGCTTACTTTTTCAAGTTAAAAAAGGTATTTTTAGGTGCCTTTGGTGTGTTGGAGAAGAAGAGGAGAGTGGGTTTGTTTAGGGTAGGAAGGAAGGAAGTGGGGTTGAAGTGCATGGCGTGGGGGAACAAAAAAATATTCAACAATGGTTTCAAAATGCACAAGAAATGAAGGACAACATATATGCATAGCCATGTTGTCCGCCTTAATTACATTCCACAACTACTTCACCACTTGCAAGCTTCCATTTATTTCCTTCCGTATCCACACACCATGTTCTCTCATCATCCATGGACCCACCCAACCCACCACATCTGATATTGGACACTGCCCTAAACTACACTGCTCCATGTCTCACAATAGTTAATACAGATTCTTGCCAAGTGGTACAACGTGGCAGGCCACTCAGCAAAGGGCAATCTTAGAGATTCTTTCAGAATGATCAGTTCATACTTAATAATTAGAAGAACTGATTAAACACCAATTAATTAAGCTTCATTATAAAGCAGTTTCCTGGGAAATTATAATCAGTGCCGCAGAATGATGAATAAGGATACACATGGACACATGTTGAGCGTCAGAAGATCCACTTAGTATGGATGACACCATAGTTGTGTCCGAATCCCATATTACCATTCAAACATAAAAAGAGGTTTTTAGCAGAGAAATGAATACGAAAGAGTAGTATGATATCAGATGTGGTGGTGTTTAATTAATCCAGGAACAGTGTACTGACAGAATATAAACCGGATTTTGAGGAGAATAGTATCTTCTCTCTTCAATGTCGAATATATATATATATATATATATATATGAGCTGTGGGATTATTTATATACGGGTCTGCTTTCAAGGTCAGCTTATCAATATTTATTTTACGTCTTAACGGCGTCATGTTTTAACCCCACATTAATTAAGTGAATGTTCTTTATCTATCGCCATACGTGACAATGGACTGATAGTGGCCGGCACCGTCTGTGTTTGTGAGTATGACTGATTCAGTGGGAAACTAATTGTTTCAACTTTTGGCCTTTCTCATGGTTTTGTGATTGTCATAGTTGCCGCTTCAGCAATCAACTGACTATGTCTCCATCCATTCATTTTCCTGCTTGCCAGAATTCACAACATGTTTGGGACTGTGAGTTCCAGAGGCTATTATGTTCCTTATATTTTGCTGCCTTCTTCCTTCACAGCTTGAGACCACAAAAAACTGTTCATATTCAGGGATTTTGAAAGAATATTAGTATTTTATATCAGGACTCGCAGATGATCCAGGGGAGAATCTTTAGAGGACGCACGAGGGAAAGTGTGGGTGGGAACGAGGATGAAGATCGAAACAAAGGGAAATAATTAAGGAGAGAAAGTTTTTTGTCCTTATCCTAGACTTGCAGGATTGCAATCCTTACTTATATTTGATGTCTCAATAAAATCCAAATTTAAAGTGAAAAAAAGGAGGAGGAAGGTGGGCTTACTTAATCTGCAACTTAATAAAGTTTGATGGATGATTGGGATTTGATAGAGGAGCAGGTAAAGCAGGCAAGTTGATCAGGCAAGGCAAATAATGGTTAATGGACACTCCACGGCCATTCACTTGAGCTAACTAAGGAAATGGACAGTTGTTTGCTGCAGATAAAAAGGCAAGTTCATAAATCGTGCTAAGTGGTCACCTACCCAGAACAGAGAAGGACCATTCATGATCATGTGCCACTTGGCCTAATTCTCTCCCCACTCTTTCACTTTGATAGATTGAATGTCCTTTCTCCGATCCATCTGTCACTTTTCCTTATCATATATAAACATCTCACTACCTCCTTCTTATCTCATCTCCCACCTCACTTATTATTAATGTTATCGAATTGAATTGTTAATAATATTAACTCTCCTGTCCTGTCATTAGTTAGGTGAAGATACAGAGGAGGCCGAGGCCGGCCAAGTAATTTACTACATTGGTGGGGTAACGTTATGGATTGTTATTAATATTTGCTCGACATAGTTGTGGTTTTCATGGATGACGTATTCCCATTAAAAAAAGAAGAAGAAGAAGAAAAGAAAGAAGGAACCAAATGATATTGTGTTTTTAAAATATAAGACCTAAAAGGGAGGGTTGCATGGGACCATGGGTCGTGTTTGGCACTGATATGCCTGTGGCTATCAAACATTTGAGACAAATAACGTAAGGCTGGTGTTCATGGGGTCCGCTCAAACGTTGCTTTCTTCACAATTTGCCTCTCCATTTTATTGCCTGCGTGGTAAGCTTCTCGACCCTTCCTACGTATACAAATCTTATTCTTATAATATATTACTCCTATCAATTAAATCAAAGTTGGTAGTTGACCAATTACAAAACAAATTCAGCGTTGGTGCAGCTTCTTTTTTCCCACTAATCAACGTCTTCTAGTAGTTTTTTACGTTATCTGAGAGTCGAATTACAAGGGTGATTATTAATCATCAATCCTTGCTTTGAACCCATAAAAAAAAAAAAAAAAGCTTCTGAGTTTGTGGATTTTTCTTCATCAGTAAAAAAAGTGCCTGGCTACTGTGGGGTTACTCTGTGCTTAGTGAAGGAGAGACAAACTGGGATGCAAATCTTTTGGGCTGCTAAAAAAAATCATCCCTTTGTTTAATTCCAACGCTAACATAAAAAGCAAATTCACTTTTTCATTGAGGCAATTGGCATGAATGATTTCAAGCCAAAACTTGAAGCATATGCCGTGGGAATCTGTATATATGCACATCACTTGAGATTCGCGATCGATTCAGGATTAAGTTACGACTTCTCTTAATCAAAAGTCACTTTTACCACCGAATCTTAATCTCGGATGACGGTTGCTTATTCATTCAGCAATTCTGACAATAATTAGAGCTTTTAGATTCTGGTCATATATAATCATTTTCAATTACCGTGATTGAATTGAGATTTACAAGTACCCTGTTTATGTCCCCATATGAAAAATTCATTCCCAGGCTGAACACTAGCAAGTTCAGTTAAGATTCAAGGCCAAAGCAGTTAGCTTGAATGATGACTAGTAATCTATTTATCTATCTTATTACTATTGCCTTTTGCAGCAAATAAGAAAGCGTTGCACTTATCCATATCGTTGCAAATTTGTCTTTATTTGGGGGCCGACCTGGAGCATTGCACTTATCAATGTATTTGCTCTTTCAGGGTCGCTTTCCTTCTCTAATCTTCTCTATAATTCACACAGACAAATATTGTGCTTTAATTCTCAGACTCTCTCTAAAGGGCAGGGTGGATGGTCTATCTTTGTCCATAGATTTTATTTCAGTGGGACTCTACCACTTGTTCTCGCCAATCTTTTGATCTAATCTCCCCAAAAAGATTTGTATTGTGATTCCAATTCATAAAGCAGATTCAATATCAATGAACAATATTATGATTACATGTGTCTGTCTTTATTCTTCTGCCATGTCCTAATCGGAGCGAACACGCACGAGTCCAAGTAATTGTGACGCTCACACTCACAGCTGTGAAACTGAATCGTCCATATTATAGGGTAAGTTACCGCGCGAGGGAGGGATTGAAACGTCCCTTTCACTGGACACTGTTCTGGTGACTTTTCAGAGATTAAATATTAGCAATTAATGCATATTCATTCTCCCTCGCACCAAACTACTCTCTCTCTCTCTCTCTCTCTAATTAATGAATTATTCTTTACTGTGTGTAATCTCAACTAAAAAAGCATACAGTTATAAGATGAAAAAAGAATAACAAAAAAACAAAAAGAACCTAAATTGATCACTACTCCCTGCAAAAGAAAACAAAATCCTGTTTCTCTCTCTCTCTCTCTCTCTCTCTAGCGCGCACACCCACCACCCACTTATATTCTAATCCCAAAGCCCCCATCCCAACAACCCTTCCTCGGTTTAACACTCTTCTCTCTATTATGCACTCGTGGTGTTTCGTGCCTGTTCTTCCTTGCTTTGTCCGCATTTTGGGCCATTGAACTAATCTTGCCCGCCCTTCATTTTCTTTTATTTTTTTGAAGCACAAGAAATAGCTGGAGAAGATGTACTTTCGTCCAAAGTTTTGTTTTTTCTTCGACTTGTTTGAGCCAGGGAAGGTTTTAATTCAAGAGAACTCGTCTTTATCTCCCTCAGCTAACTGAAGGAATGAATGCTCTGTATTTCTGAGACAGCCCCTCATGGATCTGGAGTCTGTGGCCTACAGTAATTCAATTAAGGTAACTCATATAGCACTCTGGTGCTGAGAATTAGGACTCCCGCCTGCACAAATCTTTGCTTTCTGACCATGCTTGCTTCTCCGCAGAAGGAATCATGGAAAACCGTGTTAACTTTGGCTTATCAAAGCCTTGGCGTTGTCTATGGAGATTTGAGCACCTCCCCTCTTTACGTTTACAAAAGCACTTTCGCCGAGGATATTCAACATTCAGAGACTAATGAAGAAATATTCGGGGTTTTGTCTTTTGTGTTCTGGACCCTTACACTCATACCCCTGCTCAAATATGTCTTCATTGTGCTTCGGGCAGATGACAATGGCGAAGGAGGGACCTTTGCTCTGTATTCTCTGCTATGCCGGCATGCTCGGGTTAGCTTACTGCCTAATACCCAGCTCGCCGACGAGGACTTAACGGAGTATACGAAAGATGGGATTGTGGCAAACGACAAGAAAGCCGTCGGGTCTAGCTTGAAATACGTGCTGGAGAAACACAGGGGGCTGCAGAGGGTGCTGCTTGTTTTGGCTTTGATTGGGACTTGCATGGTTATTGGGGATGGCGTGCTCACACCAGCAATTTCCGGTATTTGAGATTTGCATTATACATTTCTGAGTATTTCGATCTCAAGCAGTGAAAACGGGGATTTGACCATTCGTTTTTCTGGTTTTTGGTCATTAATGCAGTATTTTCTGCGGTGTCGGGCCTCGAGCTTTCCATGTCAAAAGAGCAGCACCGATGTAAGTTCCTTTCTCTGTTTTACACAATTTCGAAGAAAATTCCCTGTATCAGTTCCCTTTTCCTTCCAATTCTGCATGTATACTCTCTTGACGCAGTGTCAATCGTAATCCACTCTGCCGTTTCGGAGATTAATTTGCAGCTGAGCAATTTGTCTTCGAATTCAATTGTGGAAAGCTTAACTTTTTTTTTAATAAAAATTAATTCCACCGCAGATAAAAACGATAATGAATTTATTCTTTTTCCTCGTTGGATTTTTAAGAGTGGATTTAGAAAACAATGGTTGTCCGAAACTATTCTTTGGGATATGTTCTCGATATTTCAGAAGACTGAGATTCTGAATAGTTTACATCTGTTGCTCTGTGCGATTCTTCGATTGTCTTGGCTATTTTTTCCCAAAGAGATTCCTGCCTCCTCGATCGTATATATGCCGCGAGGACATTAAAAGTAAAATTATTGTAGTTAGATATCGGAACGGGTTTATTTGATGCTTAGTATAAAGTCTTGTTTGAACTTTGAAAAGCCATCGTTTTGCCATGCCACACTTCGTAGCCATTTTAATTAGTGGAGAAAGAGGGAGAACCCAATGCTCGCTAGTCGCGCGGGTGTGTGTGGGTCCCTGTAAATATCATCCGGCCAACCATTGCTTTGATCAAGTCAAATCATCATCCCATGCTATCAATTATATTTGAATAAATAGTCTAGCTTGTGAAATTGATCATTATAATAAACAAAAGATCAAACGTGTGGCTAAGATGAAAATGATGTAACCTTCAGTATTTGAATTTGACCCGATAATACATATACTGGATAGTAAAAAAAAAACAGAAAAGAATAGAAAAGTAGTCCCTTCACAAAGTTAAGCTTTCATGATATTATGATTTCAAGGTGAAAGCATTGTCGTATGGATAAGAAATCAAATGAATATATTTGGAGTGATCTGTAGTCTGGAACCGTCGGCTGATTATCTTATTGGATACAAAATCAGGTGTGGCCATTATTGAACTAGTCATTAACATTATTTGTGACTTCATTATGATGCTCAAATAGTGATTATCTGTGGTGTCTCTCAACTAAACCCTTACCTAATTCTGTCCAACTTTTAGGCATCGCGGCAGCCAATATAATAGTATGAAGTCAACCAAATGATATCTCTGTCTACGTACCTAACTTTGTCATATGATTACAGTATGAATAATATATGTTACTAATAAAAAGTTTTGAATTCTTTTCGTAATCGGTTGCGGAATTTCATATTCTCACAAAATATTTCTAGGCTTCTCTTGAAAGTGATCTTTTTTCCAGTAGGTAATAATATATCTCCCTTTGGTTACCATTTGTCGGCAATATGATCACAAATTTCCTTTGGTGGTAATTTGTGGGCCCGCAAGATTATCTGGAAGTTAAGTTGATATGCTTTTGATTTATGATCATACAACCGTTTACTTTGGGACTCAAGACACTTACACTACAGTAGTTCAGTAGCTAATGTTCATCTTTTCTATAGTAAAACTTTACAGCAAAGATTGAAGGCGGAAAATTTCATCTTCTGTTCATTGCCTTTAATCTCTACTACTACTCCATGGTTCTTGTTATTTTAAAAGACATTTGATACATAATTAATCAAAGTTTAATGAATTTTATAAATACTACAGGAATCTTCATTTGCTTCATTTGCTTGCCCATTGTCTTTCTCATGATAACCAGTTTTGCTGAACTTGGGTTTTCTAATTTTGAAGTGCTTTTCTCCGTATTTAGCATCTATGTTTTACTCCATCCAGAGTGTTATACTTAGAATTCGGAATTCAGATATCAAAATTAGAATCTACGGAACTAAGCATCCCAGTTTTGCCAAAGAAATGACCCGCAATATGCTTAAATGTATCTTGCCTGTACTGAAAGATAATTGGTTATGCAGATGTTGAGGTTCCAGTTGCCTGTATAATACTGATATTTTTATTTGCGCTCCAACATTATGGGACCCATCGTGTGGGATTCCTGTTTGCACCTGTTGTGATGACCTGGCTGCTATGCATCAGCGCCATTGGCATTTACAATATCATTCATTGGAACCCACACGTATATGAAGCTCTCTCCCCTTATTATATGTTCAAGTTTCTGAAAAAGACTCAAAGGGGAGGTTGGATGTCCTTGGGTGGAATTCTACTGTGTATAACAGGTATGGAAATAGCAGAGCAAATTTTAGTATATTTTCAATACAGTTTACCATATGCTTTATCTTTATTTGATTCCATTATTTATATGTTCCAGGTTCAGAAGCCATGTTTGCAGATTTAGGACACTTTTCACAATTGTCAATTAAGGTACACAGAAGCCGCCAACCCCCCCCCCCCCCCAAAAAAAAAAAAACCCCACCCCACGCGGGAACTCAGGATTTCATAATTACGAGGCAATATGTGAAGGGAAACAATGAGTTGTCCCACACTCCCCTATTTGCTTGCTTACATTCTTTAGACAGTTGTGAGCAGAATATCTACTTTTTTAACATCCCTGAGGGGGAAATCGACTTTTTTTTCATAACTAAAATTCTCTTACCTGCAGATCGCTTTCACCTTTTTGGTGTACCCATCTCTAATCCTAGCATACATGGGACAAGCTGCTTATCTTTCCAAACATCATATCCTTGAAAGTGACTACAGAATTGGTTTCTATGTATCTGTACCTGGTGAGTTCTCTTGTTTTGATCTCAAGGAGCCATCATTCCACACAACCCAAGTTTTTGCTTTTTGTCTTACTCCCCCCCCCCCCCTTTCAGAGAAAATTAGATGGCCTGTTCTCGTAATAGCCATACTTCAAGCTGTGGTTGGAAGCCAAGCTGTCATCACTGGGACTTTCTCAATAATCAAACAATGCTCGGCTCTGAGCTGCTTCCCCAAAGTCAAAATTATCCATACATCTTCTAAGATACACGGTCAGATTTACATTCCAGATATCAACTGGACGTTGATGCTTCTTTGTCTGGCCATTACGGTTGGATTTAGGGACACAAAACGCATGGGAAATGCATCAGGTATTACCTTCACAGAGTACTTTCATGATACACTTGCATGCTGAGAAACTACAGTCATTATCCATGTTGTGTCTTTACTTCTAATGTTAAATATTTAATTATTTTTAATGCTTTTTTTTCCTTCCCATAAACAGGATTGGCTGTCATAACCGTCATGCTGGTGACCACTTGCCTAATGTCTCTTGTCATAGTCTTATGCTGGCGCAAAAGTGTTGTTCTAGCCATTTGCTTTATATTCTTCTTTGGCTCCATTGAAGCACTCTACTTCTCTGCCTCCCTCATCAAGTTCCTTGAAGGGGCTTGGGTTCCTATTGCCCTCTCATTTATCTTCCTTATTGTCATGTATGTATGGCACTATGGCACAATTAAGAAATATGAGTTTGATGTTCAAAATAAGGTCTCCATCAACTGGCTTCTCAGTCTCGGCCCCACATTAGGAATAGTAAGGGTCAGGGGAATTGGCCTTATACACACTGAGCTTGTATCTGGGATTCCAGCTATTTTCTCTCACTTTGTTACCAATCTCCCCGCTTTTCATCAGGTTGTAGTCTTTCTCTGCATTAAATCAGTCCCAGTGCCACATGTCAGAGCTGAGGAAAGGTTCTTGGTGGGTAGAGTTGGCCCCAAGGAGTATAGGCTTTATAGGTGCATAGCAAGGTATGGCTATCGTGATGTTCACAAGGATGACGTGGAATTTGAGCAAGATCTTGTTTGCAGCATAGCTGAGTTTATCCGATCAGATACTTCCAAATGTGGCTTAGAACTAAACAATATCGAAGATGATGCAAAGATGACAGTTGTTGGGACTTCAGCATCAAAATTAGAAGGTGTAAGAATGTGTGAGGATGATCTAGATTCCTGTCAAATGGAAGGAACTTCAGAGTTGAGGGAGGTTAAATCTCCTGAGAAACTTAAGAAGCGGGTCAGGTTTGTGGTGCCAGCCAGTCCAGAGATTGATTTAACTGCAAAGGAGGAGCTGCAGGAGCTAATGGAAGCAAGGGAAGCGGGAATGGCATTTATAATGGGTCACTCATATGTGAGAGCAAAAAGAGGATCAAGCTGGATAAAGAAAGTTGTGATCAATTATGGGTATGATTTCTTAAGGAGAAACTCTAGGGGACCAACGTATGCTTTAAGCATCCCTCATGCGTCTACCCTAGAGGTGGGCATGATCTATAATGTCTGAATTTTGGTTAGCAGTTATATAGCCGAGTTTTGCAACTAGCCGTGTTATTTCAATAGCTCAGCCTACATAAACTTGATAAATGGTGGCATTTTGTATAGTTCCCCTCCAAGCTTTCCCGGCAAGCAAAGTGTTGCCAACACCAAGGTTCTTCTGGCCAGATCATTTTTTTCTTTCTTTCTTTTCCCTTGTATTGTCTTGGTATATAAATAAGCTATCATGAAATGGTAGTTCTCCATTATCCAAGGCCCAAATCTGAAATAAAGGTCAATTTTAGGTTGAGAAGGAATTTTCGTAGCAGTAGAGAGTTGGTATTTTATTGCTGTTGTACTCGATTTAGAATCTCTTCTTGTTTATACATATGCTTGATAACCTCTGCTGGGCAGCCAAAGTTCAGTAGATCTAATGGCCGTTATGGGTCAGGCACTATTTGTTTTTCCTCGTGACGAAGAATGAAAGCTAACATTGCTAAAGGAAACACACTTGGAGGCTCTTTAACAAATGCTGAAGCGCTTAGATTCCTTGTGAAATACAAATTCAAAATGGCGTCTGAGAATCTGAAGTTGGAATTTAATGTTTCTTTAACTTTTTCTTTATTTGCTAATACTTAACTCTATATTCTTCATCCACTTTTGCTTTATATTATGTTTCCTTTGCTTTTTTGCTATTCAAATATCCTGATTCTGTTGGCCTAACCCAAAAAATAAAATAAAATAAAATCTTGATACTTGTCATCTAGCCAGAGGGACACATTATTAGTATTACCACACTTGTAACCAAACCTGCTTTAACATGTTACATCAACATAGACAAAGTTGAGTCAATCTGATCGGTTCTCCCCAAGTTTTGATTTACGATGTTACGGAGGCTGACTACGAGGTCTAAGCTAGAGACACGAACAGAAATAAAACATGCAGAGTAAGATAGATAGATAGATAGATAGATAGATAGAGGAGAGATTCTCTTGTTAAATGAAGAGATTTGGGAAGTTAGTAGAGTTCTCCAGATATAACTAGATACTTTTCCATTATTTATATACACACACACATATAGAGAGAGAGAGAGAGAGAGAGATTATTGATTGACACAGTCACAAATGATGCCCTCGTTAGTACAAGATAATGCTAAACAGTTATTATTGATTATGGAATCAAACAGCTTTTACAGCTTACGTGAATCCAGAACTGACATTTTAGCTCTTACAGAAAAGAGATCGAGCTTGAATCCTGGTATGCACTAGCAGCTGGAGGAATTGATCCTGTAATTGTGTGGATGCATATTACACACGCAAAATGATGATACAACAAAAAGCATTTGCCTCCATGATTGATCAGAGGGAGCGTAACCTAAACGTTGCTTGCTTGACCGAAAGAGAGAGACAAGTTTTTTGACCACCACGAAGAAAGCCAGAGAAATCAGATTCCAACCATTTTTATAAATATATATTTTTGGGTGATAACACAGCACACACAAGCAGAGGAGCCATCGGCTCTTGATCTAAACAAACAAAAGCATATGATTAACCAAGAAGAAAATGCCCAATTAGAAGCCAGCATTCGAGGACACAAAAAGAGGCCAATTCTTGCTTTCATGGTAATAAACACTAAATAATTTGATGCAACTTTCTTTCATAAGCCCCGCAATTTTTAGTGTTAGCTTGAGGACTTTAACTCCATTGTTTGATAATTTTAGGGTCACGTGTCATATTCCTAAAATATCCCTCATGCATCTACCCCTGAGGTTGACTATCATGCCTCTTTTTCTTTTAAACTATCTATCCGTCTTTGGTTATCATCATCAGTCTTTGGATTAAGCCCTAAAGAAATAGCAATTGTGAGGAAGTATGTTAATAAAGGCTATCATATAATTACAACCTTGAAGAAGCTTTTTGAAATAAAGGAGTTCTTGTCCTTCTCTACGCGTTAAGGCGCTTGAAGATTTAAGTATTGAAAATTAAAATCACGTCAGAGTGAAACCATACTTTTACTTTTTCGTACTTTTTTAAGTATATTGAAATGGTGACTCTGGATATATAAATGCCATGTAGCAGACACAACATTATTCGTAATGAGAAAGCAGAAGAAGCATGGCCTGCAAAATTCCATCTTCGCAGAATAAAAATCACCTTGTCGGATGGACTTAAAAGGACTCAATAATCAAACCACCACATTCTATGATTGCCTTCCATTTTCACCTCCAAATTCTGTCCTCATTGCCTCTCTACTAAACCTCACATCAACACTAAGTCTCCCTTTATCATTCTCCTCGGTTTTCGAAAAGGGTGATACTAATTAACGTGTTCCAAAAAAAACAAAAGAAGGAAGAAAAGGGAAAAAAAGATAAATAGCAGATTGCCCGTGGCTTCTTTTAAGTTGGATTACTTGAATTGCAGAGCTTGAACATCTACATACGAGCATTTCGTCGCCAGCTGCACCAGTGCTGGAGATAGAAAACGATGGTTAAGAATAGTTTTGTTGTGCTTCTTACTTTTGTGATTCTATTTGGCCTCTTCTCATCAACTTCAGCCAAACCTATTGCAAGTGAGTATAACATGTTATATACTAGTTTTCTTCACGCCCCATGAATATTACTCGATCTAAAAAATTTTGTCCGTCTCTGAAATTCATGTGATATGCAGAAGTTGTGACCGGGGTTGTCTCTAATGCGGTTTCTGCTCTTCTTAAATGGTTGTGGTCGCTAAAATCTCCTGCCAAACCAAGTAAGGGTCTGCCATTGAATTTTGATTCTCTTGTTTCAGCTGTTACTATTTCTTTTGGGGGCTGAGGTTGTTGTCCTTGTTGGATTTGAGGTAATCAATTTTCTGCGAAGAACAGCCGTTCCATGATGAAATTTGAGAGTGGCTACACTGTGGAGACAGTATTTGACGGAAGCAAGCTCGGAATTGAGCCATACACAGTTGAAGTATCGTCAAATGGGGAGTTTCTGGTGTTGGATTCAGAGAACAGTAACATCTACAAGATCCCAAGTCCAGTGTCTACATGTAAGCTTTTTTTTATGAGATTGTTTATGCTAGCTTATACCGTTAGCTTCAATTTCAATGTTTTTTTGGGGCAAAATTTCAATGATTTTTGGTGTTTGAGTGTTATGGTTTTGAGTTGTTTCATTATATGGGGAATGGAGATTCTAGATTCACATGTCCTGAGAATGTCTGTTGTATGGGCTCTACCTTGTACAGTGACATAACTTCATGCTCGGGACATCTTTTGATTCGGTTAAGATGTTTGTAAAGAACCAAAGATGCTTAAGCTTTGGTGAAGCCCAAGTCTCTGCTTTTCAAAGTACAACATGCCTTTTTACTGTTCTTCCAACAAAAAATCTGTGCGGACGTTCTCCTCTCCTTCACTTTCCAATATTTTAAAAAGAATGAAGAACTAACCAAAAAAGGAAAAGGAAAAATAGGCAGTAATGCAATTTGCTCTCTGCCGACTTTGAGTATTATTTCCTGTGCTGCAGAATGTAAATGTTACATTTCCCCTGTCAAAATGCTTATAAGAAAGGCATACTGCATCTGGGCTTAAAGAGACTAGTTTTCTCTTTTTCCAAGTGCCCTCTTGAGTCCTTAACTTTTTCTTGGATACATTCTGAAATGTAAGAATGAACCACAGATAGTAAACCAAAAATCCTTGCTGGATCGCCTGAGGGGTATACTGGACACATAGATGGGAGGCCTAGAGAAGCAAGAATGAACCATCCTAAAGGACTTGCAGTGGATGACAGAGGCAATGTTTACATTGCAGACACAATGAATATGGCCATCAGAAAGATCAGTGATGAAGGTACACCAATTTGAGAATTAAAACTTTAAAAGCGTGAGATCCCTCGTGTGTTTTCTTCCTTTGGTTGTCCAAGAGATTCAATTATCATCCATTTGATTTTCCATACAGGAGTGACAACAATTGCAGGTGGGAAAAGGGGACAACTAGGTGGCCACGTGGATGGTCCAGGTGAAGATGCAAAGTTTTCAAATGATTTTGACGTAGTTTATGCTGCCAGCAGCTGTTCTCTTCTGGTGGTAGATCGAGGAAACTTGGCAATTCGAGAGATTCAACTTCATCACCATGACTGCACTACTTACCGACAGCAACATGATGAAGATGACGAAGATGATGTTAGTTTCCACTTAGGTATGATAAACAGGCCATTATATTCATCTCTAATCTCTTTAGTTTTGTCGACATGAAGGCCTAAAAGATATGCATAATTTCGCGTAATCCTATTGCAGGAATAGCGGTACTGGTTGCTGCTGGATTTTTCGGCTACATGCTGGCCTTACTACATTGGAGGGTCAAAGCAATGTTTTCTTCTCCTGATGTAGGCGGCATATACCACATTTTTTACATGATTTTTCTGCAATAATACGATATTATATCTAACAATGTAAGTGTCTTGCTTGATGTTGTAGGATCCGAGAGCTTATAATATAAGGAAAGGCACGCCAGTTGCAGCACAGCAAAGGCCTCCAAAGTCAGTGAGGCCTCCCCTGATTCCAAATGAAGAAGAATACGAGAAAGAAGATGAGGGTTTCTTCGGTTCTATTGGAAGGCTTTTCGTGTATTCCGGGTCAGCTTTTGTTGAGATTGTTGGGAGTTTATTCAGCGGAAGTTCTAAAAGCAAAAGGAAAGGCCTGCATTACCAGTACCAGCAACAAATGAACAGACATCCACATGCATGGCCAGTGCAAGAGAGTTTCGTGATTCCTGATGAAGATGAACCTCCTCCATGTTTAGAAACAAGGACCCCAACTCCCAGAGAAACTTACCCTTATATGAACCAAAAAGACCTGGAAAAGCCTCCCCAGCAACACTTGAATCCACCTCGAGGGGCTTACTTGAGCAGTGGGTGGGATGGCGAGTATGATCAGCAGATTCAACAGCAACGGAAACAGCAGTTTCAGAAGCATTATTCATCGAGCCCTCAGACTTACTATGATCAGAATTGCGAGCCGAATGAGATTGTGTTCGGAGCAGTTCAGGAACAGGATGGAAGACGCGAGACCATGGTGATTAAGGCTGTTGACTATGGGGATCCAAAGTATAATCCCCGTAATCTCCGACCTCGTTTGAACTACGTGGGCTATTCCCACGGTTACTGAACATCTTTGGAAGGCTACGTTCCAACTAATGAGAAACTGAGTCTCCGGAAAGGGACTCATGAGACCTTGAATGGTCTAAACGCTGTAAATTTAACCAAATGTTTATGCTTGTGTGGATGTCTTCTTCATTAAACGTCTCTTCCAATTTATAATCGCGATTAGAGATGCAATTTAAGAGAGATAAAAGTTTAATTAATTATTGAGACAATCTTACATTTCAGAGATAAAAGTTCAGTCACCTCAAATCTTCTGGACAAGCTGACCAGGGATGGATGCCCACGACGACGTCCACGCGCTGACGCTCCACCCTCCCCACCACGGTCTCTATGACTATCGTCTCCTTTGTGTTTTTCTTTTCTTTCTTTCTTTTTTTTCCCCCCCAATCATACTCGATGGGTTGTTATTTCACTTTCACGAAATTCTCTGTAGTTTATATATTAAAAAAAAATTGTAATAACATACCACTCAAAAGAATTAAATACAAAAAAGTCTTTTAAAATTATCAAATTATTCTGAAATCCCAAAAGATCTCATTACAAGGAATTTTATTTATTTAATTACCAAATTGTCTTTATTTATTTTTAAAGTATGTATTGACAACTGAAAGTGTAGTATTTAACAACTTAAAGTGTAAGGATTAACAATCATCGCAGCAGATATTGACAATTCATATATTATATTTTTGTGATGCGCTGAGAAAATGTGTTATTAATACCTACCGTAATAATTATTAATTGTTATGCTTTAGGTTGTTAATGACTGCTTTTTCAGTTGTCAATATATATTTAAAAACAAATAAGAATAATTTCGTAATTAAATAAATAAAATTTCTTACATTAAGGTTCCTTGAGACTTTAGAATAATTTAATATTTTAAGAGATTTTTTTTGTATTTAATTCACTTAGGTATGACCTTATTACAATTTTCTCATATATAAACCTCAATACCCGGGAAAAAATGCGCCTACCCTGGAAGGACCCATATCTTCCTCCACAAAATGATTGTGAGAAATTAACATCTGATTTAGAAAACAATATGGGAACAGTTACACTTTAAAAAAAAATTGAGAAGAAGAAGAATACATAATGATCGTTGAAATATAAATTGGACTGGTGTGGAAGTGGGTAGGCGCACTCCGGCTGGTTGGTTTTCTTCCTCATGACTTTGTGGTTGTCACAGCTGTGCCAACTAAACTATGTCTGACAGTTATTAAATGAATAATTTTTATGGACCAGAAATTAAATGAATAAAATTAGAACTGAAACATGTAATTAAGTTAAGAAGACGGCACGGTTCACAAGACTTCTATGTCTACCTAAAATGTTCTAACGTAACGGCCACAATCTTTTTCTTTCCTCTTGGATCAATTTGGCAAGGAGTTCTACTTTTATGCGCGGAAATCAAACATTAGGTCGGATGAGTTGACTCGAAAAAATCGACAACCCGGCTACTTATTCGATCTGGTAACCAATTTACCCGGTTAAAACTCGACCCGGTGTAACTCGATCTGCCGAGCATGCTCAGTCCTTCTCTTCACTACTGTTCATTTCATTCGGTTTGTGGATGAGTTGATGTTCACTTCAGTCAATCGCATTCCAACTTCATTACTGTGCAGCTTATTTTATTTACGAGATGTTCGGATGGAAACAAAACTATTATTTTAAAAGCGTTTTTAAATAAATATGTAGAAGAGTTTATATTGATTTACGAAAAAATATTTCTGAAAAGTATTTTTACACTCATCCAAACTCTTCTGCTGTGATTCAATGTATTCAATGTGGTTTGATTGCATTTCGACTAATCTAATTAATATACTACTCTCAGTTCTAAATATAATATTTAATTTGTATATATAGTTTATGTTGCACCACAAAATGTGTCTTATATATAGATACAGAATAATATTATTTTATTCATCTGCCTAGTTTAGATATTTTGTATTTTTGTTGGGCCAACCTTACTTTACACGTACTCAAAATACATTTTGGTTTCACAAATTTCATGCAATGATACAGAAAAGTTGAAACAAACATCTTCATTATTTTTTGTGAATATTTCCTTAAAAAAATAACCCGGCGATTTAATATTTATTTTAAAATTTAAAGATTATCAAAATTAGTTTCACTAATATTTCAATCATTTATTATTATAAATTATAAACTATTGTTGGCTCAAAAAATAATAATAAAAGATATAGCATATCACCTATTATAGGAGAATATCTTAATATCATAATCTAAATTCATCATTCTTCCTGAGCTATAATTAGACCCAAATAAGAAAAAAAGGCTGAAAAATAAACTTAAATTTGGGCTGACAGATATATAGAAATTGGAAAATGAGCTGTATCAGAGGAACCGGTGCCCGGGCTGCAAAAAATAACACGGTAGGACATCTGGCAACGGGCACTTCCCGGTAAAGGTAACAGCTAAGGTCCCATTTCCATCCAGCCCTCCACGGTGTTTTTCCGTTCCCCTTAGACATATATAAATCCCACTCCCTCACCTCCTCCTACTTGCTTCCCCCACCCGGTCCCGTAGGCCTGTAACGCCACGACGGCGACGAGAGGGAAGGATAACGTCATTCACGCCACACCCTAACCCCACCGCTTTCATCCTCATCAACCATGCCTACGGGGCCACCCGAAGCCAACGTGGTCGAATGTGACGGTGCCGGAAGCGACGATGCGGCGTTCGCCAAGAGAGGCTGCTGTTTCAGGATGCCGTGCTTGGGATACAATTCGTCTCTGTCTTCGTCCGCACATGGATCCATGTGGTGGGAGAGGATGCGGAGCCCCGAGAGCAAGGATCACTGGTGGAGTCGTGGGTGGAAGAAATTGCGAGAATGGTCCGAGATCGTCGCTGGACCTAAATGGAAGACCTTCATCCGCCGCTTCAATAAAGGGAAGTCTGGTGGATATACAAAGCAAGGCTCGTTCCGGTACGATGCATCTAGTTACGCCCTTAACTTTGACGAAGGCCAGGACGGTGAAGAAGATTACTACGTCAACAATTTCTCGACCAGGTATGCGTCGATCCCAGCGTCGGCGAAGTCGTCGATGGACCTCGGCAAGGACGGGCCCGCATTCGCGTGAGGAGGGTTTTGGATTTTGGGAGATTGAGTTCTTGCGTGAAGGGTCCGAGGTTGGAGCTTTTTTCGGACCGGAGCCAATGGAGGTGGATCCAGGGTGTTTACGTTCCTTCAGGCTCCTGTGGTCTCTTCTATTTTCACAAGGTTTTTTTTTCCCCCCCTTCCCAATTTTTGTTGTATAAATCACAATCATAAATGTAAGCAACTCAAGAAATAAAAAAAAAATCTTAAAAGTAGAAATCTTCCAATTGATTTAAAATATGTTTGATATGATGCTCCCCTGGGCTGGCAATAGTGCTCCCTTGCTTCTTATATTTTTTAATGTACAAACTAATTTGAGTAATTTCTATTACATAAGAGGAAAACGTATAAACTTTTTTTTCCTGATATTAAAAAACGCATAAACTACTTTTCTTGAACTTCAAGCTTTAATGTGAGCATTTAACATGCCAAAATTATCCTGGCTTTTCAGTGCTTAACGGATACGAACCAAAAAATATAACACGAGGGGTGCGATTGCAAATGCCCTTTCTCAGGATCAAAAAGCTAACGAATACGTATTAACGCCTCACTTTTTTTTAAAAAATATCAATTCAACTTGAATACATAATGTAAAACTTTTATCTTTTTTTTTTTACCAGAAGTAAAACTTTTATCATACAAAAATGAATAGGCCGTCAGACATTGTCAAGCTCGAATCAAGCTGCTGCTGCTTTTCCTTTTTCTTTTTTTGGGTAAATCTCTATGCGGGGTTTCAATGCATAAAGGTTCGGCTCAAATGACTGATCCGGAAAAGTGGATTGAAGGGAATAACCGGTAAAATTCAAGAAGCTATAATAATGCAGCCAGCACTCTTAATTTTTTCAAATTATTCAACTGAACTCTAAATCCCATATATATTTAGAATATCTTAATTTTTAAATTAATTTGCTTAACTTATAAATAGATATATAATCTAAGCAATTCAAAAAATTATATAACATATATTATAATTAAGTAATTTCTTAGTTGAAAAAAATTAAAATCAAGTAATTTTTAAATTTCTTAATTTTATCAAATTACTCAACCAGAGACAGTATATATGTTTTGAAGAAATATATACGTAGGTATTAGCATATATGTATACGCTCTTCTAGTTCACTGCATATATCATTTTCAAGCTTTTGTGTCTTGAATATGAATCTGATTTGATAATTTTTAGAAGATTTATTTATATAATTAATTATTAGCATCATGAGTAAGCAATGTGGTCTTTTACTTTTAATAAGAGACTTTTGACAAGTCAACTTCTATTTGACTATTCTTCTTATCGTGCTTGAGTGGGTAAATTGAAATTGCTTTCTCCCATCCTAGAAGATAATAGGAGCACCTACATTAATATTAAATATAAGATCTAAATTATAATTTCTTTCGGTCAAGTCCCTCCCATTGATTGTGTATATAAAAAAGGATTTTTATTTTTTTAAATAATTTTTTTTAATATTCATAAATTAATCGTGCGGTTTTACGTAGCTAAGGCTAGAGATAGTATGTTATATAAGCAAAAGGGAGCATTTATAATAGCATAAACAGTACTGCCTCCGATTCTATTTATAAAATGTTATTTGTAATTTATAAACAACATTTTATTTGTAGTTCACTCAAATTCATTATATATAAATATTCTGTCCATCCCTTGAAGAGAAAGTTTCAGCACGAATGGCAATTGGAAAAGTTGACCATGACAGAAGTTGCTCTCCCCAAGGCCAAAAAACGGTAACTAATTGTTTGTATATGGTCCCCTCTCGCAACCCCCCATGATGCCACACCGATCACCCCTCCCATTCATCAAATTCAAAATTTAAACTACAACAACTCACACTATTTCTCTTTTCTTTTGAAATAAACTAGTACGGGGTGTTTGACAACTCTAAAAAGTACTTTTCAGAAATATTTTTTCGTAAAACGAGACAAATTCTTTTATATATTTACTTTGTGAACTATAAAAACACTTCTAAAACACTTTTTACTATTTGCTCCTACAAGCAGCTTAAGCGAATCAATCTCACCTCAATTCCCCCGTCAGCCACAACACTAAAATTGGGCATATTCAATGTACAATATCCATAGACATGCTCTCTATTTTTGTAATCCATTCCGCTTACTCTGCAGTTTCAACAGGGCTCATTCTTGAACTAACCACTTTTTCGGGACTAATAATCCATCATCATGAGCGTTGACAAGTATTAAATGCGGGCGTTAAATTTCAACATGAACACATGGGAGGGATTACTAATTGACCCCACGTCATTATCACTACTGGAGCCAATTTTTTTTGAATCAAAACTCATCTCACAAAGATAGATAGCTTCTGTCACTTCCCAGCTTTCATAGATCCCACCACCAGTGAACAACTGTCCACCCCTACAAGATCCACCGATTCAAGACTATGCTTTAAAAAAAAAAAAAGTTGTATTCACATTCTCCCAAAAGAGCCTTAAACAAAGCAAAAGCAGATTCAAAGAAGCCCAGCACCGCAAAAGCCATGAAAAATTAATAAAGCAAACGCACTTGCCTCCCGCCAATATATCCTTGAGACTCACACAATCACATTCACAGCCCCGCTCTGAAGAAATAGGCTCCCCACCCAAATTCAACCAACTATCGTAAATCTGCCAGTAGTAATTAAAGAGTTTAAGAAGAAGAAGACGAAGCTCAGAGAATGTGTGCTCTGGAAACGAAATGCCTTTACTTTTCCACACCAAGTATTTGTTGTTTGAAGAACCGAAGGCAACCGACAAGATCAGACTAACATTTGCTATTACATATCAAGAAGAAGAAATATCTGTTGTTTGAAGAACCGAAGGCAACCGACAAGATCAGACTAACATTTGCTATTACATATCAAGAAGAAGAAACTCTAGTATCTTCACACGGAAGATCTGTGGTCGTAATAATATCTCAACTCAAAAATCACAATGCATCCAAGATATACCACAATCAATCATCATAAATTCAAAACTGGAATCCCAAAAGGAAAATGTTTGATCAGCGGATTAAGATGGTTAAACGTGATGAGTAAGAGAATCATGGGGATGAATACCTGTCATGTTCCTTCTGTTTTTCTCATCCATGGCAGGTCCGTATTAAGAGAAGATGGCATGCCCATCCCCATTTGATCTTCTTCGGACGAAGTAGAAAACTTGCTCTTCTTGGACCACTGCCAGATCTTGGAAACAGAATAGCTCTCACCTTTACTCACACTTCTAATCTTCTTTGCTTCCTCCATGGAAAGCTTCTCAGATTGTTCTTGTCCTTCTATAAGCCTTACCTCGCGGCCTGGACGGTCATGGTTCAAGGCAATTCGGAGGTCTGAATTGCCTAACACATACTGGTAAGATCCCATTGAGTAGCATCTTCTTGCATCTAAATTACTGCTACTCGTCTCTCCTCCTCCACCCTCCCCCGCCTCCACATTCAGCCTTCTGAACTTACCAAGTTTTACAGGCAACACTCCTTTCTCTACGGTTTCTTCAATTTCAACAGTTTTTTGTCTAAAACTTGTGAACCCGTTTTCAGCGTTACACCCATCCTCTTCCCTTAGATCGTCAAAATCGTACATGGGGTTTTCAATTGAAAACCCAGGATTTAAAAGGGTTCCTCTACAAAGTGGACATGTGGAATTGGATAGAAGCCATGTGTCTATACAATTGATGTGAAAGGCGTGACTGCACAATGGAAGCAATCTGAGCTTGTCCTTCTCTGAAAACTCACACAGGCACACAGCACAGTCAAATGGTTCTTTCAGACCAACTATCTCTTTATACTGGAAAACAGGAAGTGCGTCAATGAAAGCTTGATCCAGACCAGAGTCGTGAAGATTGAAGAGCTGTTGGAGTTGTCTTTGAAGAGCATCGGAGGTTGAGATTTCCTGGTGTCTATTAGACTCAGATGCCGAGGAAGATGGGTGCTTTATGAGAAATCTAACAAGCAGGTGTAGAAGACCAGAAATAAAAAAGAGCACGGCTAGAATCACTATAATGAAAAGAACAGCCGGACTAATTCTAGTACCAGACGAGGAAGAAGACCCTGTTTCTCTGTGGAAAGCACCAGGATATGGAGGCGAAGATGAAGGCAAAACAGGAGGTGGGTAGCTCGAGTAAACATCTTTTTGCTGGATTTGATGATGAATCCAAGATATCTTCAAGTGGGTATGGTTAAAAAACCACTTATGATACATGCTTTCTGACATCCCGCAGATCATAAAGGGAGACCCGTGAAACATGCTCTCAACAATTCATCATAGAACACAATCATAATAACGCTTTGACACTAGACAAAGCCAAAATCGTCGATTTCTCAGCTTTTACTCTCACAATCCAGAGAAAATAATTGTCCTGTGAGGGAGAAGCAGATGCGGAAATAACGCTATAACTTCGAGTACCTTTATGTTTTTAAACAAAGAACACAAAGCTTCGAAGGGCAGAATCAGTGATTAAGCAATCATGAGAGATAAACTGAAGTATTGTATCCTCCCATTAAATCTGGAAATCAACTTACCTCTGTTTCTGGGTAGCTCACCACTACTGCGCTTTGTCAAAACGTCATGGAACTAAAATTTGAAAAATGAAAACGCAACTTTCTAGTGGCGCCAGGTTCGAGAAGAACAATCAGCAGAGGCTTAGGGGCAGGCTTTTGAGTTTGGTTAAATCGCTAAGGTGCGTTCGAGAAGATGGGGAAAGTGAAATGTCATGAGCTCTCGCTTGACTCTGTCGCTCGACCTCAGGAATTTTTCTCTCTGCAGTCTCTATCAGTGGTCATAGCCAATGCACCCGATGAGGTCCGAATCTGGCACCAGTTTCCGAAGTGGGACGAAAAGTATGACAAAAAGAAACACCAGCAGATTTAATAGTCCCACCCGCCATGGTGGAGCGTGCAAGTCAAATTCGTCGGTTCTCAGTCATCAGGCTTGATTTTTGTCAAGGAACCAAAAAACCGGAACAGAAACTAAACCAGTCGTAATAGTAGGTCAAGAACTAAACCAGTCATAATAGTAGGTCAAGAGTTATTAGTCAGACCGAGAGTTGGACCGGTGATGTAAAAATAATACAATTTAATTGACAACATTAAAATAGAACAAAATTTATAAATAATAATCACTAAAAAAAAGATAGGAAGTTACAAATACAAT